GGCACCTTCCAAACGGGCGGGCAGAGGGGCAGTTGAGGACGCGGGGAGGGTGCCAACGAATTTGGGGAGCTTATGGAAGGAGCCCAGGGATTGAACGTGAGGCTCTCAAGCCGACGTTCGAAGGAAAAGACGAAGGCCTTTTGCTTGGGTCCATCCCCTCTCGTAATTTCCTCTTTGAGCCTCCCTGATCCGCAGCAGTCTACCTTGAAAATGAGCAATCAGGGAGCCTAGTTTGGGGAATCTGGCTTGATTCAGGGGGAGGATCATAGTTCGTAAATGCGGTGAAAGAATGAACGAACGGACAGGCTTTTTGCTTTTTCTCTCTTTTACGCCTGAGTTTCTAGGCAACAAGGGGTCCTCCTGATACCCAAGGAAGGATGGAGGACGAAGAGGAATCGGGGCCCACAATCAGAGACAATGTGAGTTTGCGGGGTCGGATAAATTGCGGTCGTACCAAAATGGTCTTTCTCTCGATCCGTGATTCTCTCTGACCTTCAGGGCGAGGCAGGGCAAAGATCTGGGGCTGACCCAGAGCTGAAAAAAATAAGAATGATTTCTGAAGAGGGGCGTCTCCTGGCCCAGAGTACGTTTCATAAAAACGGCAGCACCTAGCCCACGTTTGGGAATCCCCTAAAGCTAAGCAGGATGGTCCCTGAGTGGATGGGACACCACCAGGAGACCCCAGGGGTGCCGACTAGCTTAGAAACGCCTGACGAAGCAAACCCCTTTCGTGGGGCGCCCCAGGAGCTGGCCTGAACCCCAGGGAGGAGTTTCCTTTTACAATATATCTATTTTTTAAAGACGATCACCCCCTACCCCTTGCCGTTAGCAGAGCAGCGGGTGCAAAAGTCCCAAAGATCTGCTTTGCGCCCTCCGAGCAAAACGATACGGCAGGTTTAGGAACCGGTTGTTGTTTTATTTTCTGTCCTTTTCACCGAAGGAAATGTTGCTTTTCCCCCCGCTGCACTTTCTCACAGAAACTGACCGGCACGCTCATTTTCTCGATGGTAGGTTCCAGTCTGGGGTTTCTCCAGCACGGATACACGCTCTTCCTGATCCACAGTCCGCTTGTGGTGAGTTAGCCCCGCTGGGCATTGCTGGGCACTGCCAGCTTGGGGGCTCGGGGGCCGTTCACACAACCCGCTGCCCTGCGTGGCCCCGCCGGTCTCGGCTGGCCCGGCACGCAGAAGCTGCCTTAGCACACCCCGTTGGGTTTTCCGACACCGTTTCTTTTCCCTGTTTTTTATTTGCTGGATTTATTTAGCCACGCAGCCAGCTGCAAACGGGGTTGGCTTCCGGGGGCGCGCGCTTTCTTTTCAAGCTGCCGATCCTTTGCGCAGGAAGCCGCGCCACCTGCCCAGGTTTCACGTTTGGCAACAGTTCCCCGTAACCATGTTCCACAGCTCTGTGGCTGACGTTGCTTTTGGGAATGCAGCTTTCCCCAAGGAGGAAACCCCGGTTGCCTTTCCTTAAAGGCCCTGGTGCGGTTTTCCATTCAGAAGGTCTCGTCTGCCCACCGTGACGGGCGATGGGCGAACCCGTTCCTGGGGGTGAAACAGGGAACGTTTTAGGATGTTCTGCCCTGATGTCTCTAAAAAAGAGTTTTGTATCTCTGCTCCAAATTCACTCAGAATTTCTCAGGACCTGGATTTTCCTTAGGGACTGTGAGTCGTTCCGGGTCTCTCCGCTGGCTAGCCTACCTCGCAGGGTTGTTAGGCGAGACGGAGGCAGCTGGGGACGTTGATGGTTCACGGCTCGGCGTCGTTGATGGAGCTTTCTGCTTTTGTATTGTTTTATGTTTTTCAGATAAAGTTACAGTTGTACCGTCTGGTGAAGGAAGAGAGCCAGAAAAACCCCAACTTTTCCAAGTTATTAATATTTATCGCCATCGCTTTATTCCCACTTGGAGGCCTTTTTGGGGTGTTCTTCTGTGGAGCTCTGGCAGACAGATACGGAAGGTACAGTGCGTCTTAAACAGAATTCCAGCGTGGTGGATATGCGACGAGGACCGGATTTTGGCGGTTTCCGGCAGCATCAGCCCCATAGATTGGCACATAAAGTGAATCCCTGCCCTGGGTTTGGGCAGGGCACCCCCCTAGCTTGCTAACCCACAGGTCCTTGGGCACCCAACACATTAACCCACTGAAAAGAGAGCCAAGGTTTAACTTAACCAAGATTAACGTGTTCTCTAAATGCCAGGTTGGGTCAGCCCCTGAGCAGAGGATGGAGATGTCTCCTGGAGACCATTGGGGGGTTAACTAACTCCCAAATGTTGGCCACCCTGGTTGAGGATGCTGGCTTTGGGCCCCCAAGGGGAGTAAGTGAGAAACCGGGGTGGCCCCAAGCGCCATCTTCGTTCCATCTCCAACTCTGATAATCTATTTGAAACCCTAATTTGCCCAGGAGATGGTCACCTTAGCGTCGGCAACAAGGACAAACCCAATTTTAATTTTTTTTCCCCCCCCGTCTCTTTAATTCCCCTTGCGGCAACATCTGGGTGGCTTTCAAAATGGCTTTCCAGGTGACATCTCCCCGTGTAGGTTTTTTGGCGTCGCGCGCAATCTCTTGCCGTTCCAGGAACAGATTCTTTCTTTAGAAAAGAAAATCAAGCTGTTTCTGCCCGCTCAGGGCTTCTGGCTCCCTGTAGCATTCCTGAGGTTCCTCCGTGCTTTTTCTGTGTCTTTTCAGAAAATCTATCATACTCATTAATAATGGATTTAGTATCATTTCGTCTGCCGTCCTGTGTCTCGACAGAATAATCCAGCGCCCTGAATTCATCCTGTTTGCTCGCTTTTTTGCAGGAATAGTGTCAGGTGAGACAGGGGCCTGGAGTTACTAAATTAATTTATTTTAAGCCCCCAAAGCCCTGCGTTTGAATTAAATGTCCCTTAATTTAGGGGTCCCACCTTGCGATACGTACTCGGCATATTCTCAAGATCCTTTTGGGACTAGCGTAATGGGTTTCTTGCATCCTGGGAATCAGGATGGTGGTTTGCCAATATTCCAGGCGGAGAACATCCGGTCCTTTGGCAAGAAAACAAGGGACTACTTCTTTGGTGAATCCACAGGGAAGCTCCAGAAATCTCTAAATGAATGTAGAGATAAATTGGGTGCGGAAAGAAATGTATCCCGTTGCCAAGATTCCTGCAACCTAATCCCATCTCCCTTTCAATAAATCTGGTTAAAGAAGACTCTGAGACGCTGGGTTTTTAGCCGTAAGGAGCCAGCGTAAGCATCAGGCAGGAACAAATCAAGGTTGCGTCGGACGTAACGGCATCCTCGTATCGCAGTCTTCCCTAACCTGGAGATTTAAATCCCAAAATCTCAGGGCCAGCCGTGCGCCAGAGAGGCTCCTAAGTGCTGCGCTCGCCGTAATGCGTGCTGTGACCGTCATGCGCTTTTTAATTCATCCCACCAGGTTCCTTTACTTGCTCCGTCCCCCTCTACATCCTTGAAATCTCCTCCTTGAATCTGAGAGGTGCCCTGGTGACAGCTTCCATCCTCTTCCTCAACTGGGGCCATCTTTTGGGCCAAATTTTAAGCTTTCCCCAGATCTGGGGGAACCGAGAAGGTAAATTTTCCTGTTTTTGTCGTTCCTGCTAGCTTTGAGCCACGCTAAGGCTGAAAGCCCGGGTGGGGTGCCTTTCCTTCAGAGCAAGAGGAGAAGATGTAGAAAAGAGCAATGTTGGTTCTGAAACCTGGAGTGGCGTCTCCAGCTTCCTAACTTCCTCCCTCCCTCTCTCTCTTCCATAGATTATTCATTATTAGTGGGTATCACTGCTGCCTTTGCTGTCATTAGTAATATGCTCCTCCTGCTTTGCCCCGAAAGCCCCAGGTACCTGTATATCCAGAGGAACGACGAAGCGAACGCAAGGCAAGGTATGGCGACTCAGGTCTGGTGTCTCAGCCTGACGAGCTGCTCGTCTGGGCCAAATGGAGGACCAGGCTGGTAGCCCGGCTTCTGCCCTTCAGATCTTCAGGGCCTGGTTGGTCTCCCCAAATTTAGCCCCCTTGCAAAATGCAGCACTGTAAGGGGACCACCTTTGGGATGGTCGTAGGAAGCCCTTTTGACCCTCTTGGTGGTGTTGGATGCTTATGGGTGGGAACGGAAAAGGGAGGGGGGGTTCCTCTGGAGGCCAGGAGGCCGTGGCCAGAGATCATCTTGACAAGATGGGAGACCTCACCCCTTCTTCCTCAGTGTGGAAGGCAGCTTTGTTCCCCACCCTCCTTGCACTGGCCAAGTTGGAAGCCGTCATCCCAAAGTCTTCCTCGCAGGAGAACCGGGCGAGTCCTTCTCTTTCTGAAATAGAGTGAGGGTCCCTTGGAGTATGGCTGACCGGACCACCCAATTTCCAGGCGCCTTGAATCTGAGATGCGAAAAGGAAAGGAAGGAGGAGAAAAGAAGAAAGGATGATGGGTTAGAAGCTTTGCTCCCACCATCTTGAAGCCTTGGTCCACCCCAGCCCCCCAAACCCCAGAATTAAGTCCAGTTGGAAGAGATGCTTGGAAACCCACCCCTCTCACGCTCTGCAGATTTTCCTTTCCTCCCCTCCTCTTCCTCCTCCTCTAGTCTTGAAGAAGCTGAGAGGCAAAGAAGATGTGGAGGACGAGATGGAAGAACTTCGCCGGGAGCAGCTCGCCGAAAGCAACCAGAAGAACATGACGGCATGGCGCCTGCTCCATTTCCCTGGCCTCCGGTGGAACCTCCTCACCGTTGTCATCTTGGTCTCCGGAAGCCAATTTGTGGGCGTGAACATGGTTAGCAACTTCCCCAATCAGCCTCGCACCGAGAAGACATGGCCGTTGGCTTTAGCATGGTCCGATACTGGAGCCTCTGACCCCCAAAAGTGCCAGGCTTTTCGCCTGGAATGGAGCTTCTGGATCCAACTGTTCCCGGGCTCCAGGAGAGCAGAGAAAAGGGTGGAGAGGCAGGTGTTCGGGTTTGCAAAGCGGCAAGCCCTGCGTGTGCGTCCATTTGCAGTCTCTCCTCTTTGATTGCAGGGCTTTGTTTTCGCCGAGCGGATCTATAAAGCTTTAGGGCTGTCCACCAAAGCCAAGAGGCTCATTCCGCTAGCGGGAAACGTGATCGTCCAACTGATGCTCCTGACAACCGTAAGCAACCCAGCGTTCCCACTTTATTACTGGTTTGTTCAAGTTATGAGCCGCTTCCATTGCCCAACCGAGTCGGGGTGATGTATCCAAAGTGATACAGCCAAGGAGGAGGCAGGAGGAACAAATTACCAAAGTGAAACCTGGTCACGGTCACGGGCCAGAAATCTTAACAGCTGAGATTCAACACCGGCTTGATGGCGCGTGCTCTGTCCATCGAATCAAAGCTGGCCCATGATAAAATTTTCAGCAAACTTCAAAGCGATGCAAGGTTGGCTCGACAGGGAGTCGATCTGTCCTGCGCGAGTGACCTTGTCAGGGCATAGACATGTCCTGAAGTAGCAACGTTTTGCCATGGAATGGGTGATGTTAGATTAAAAAAAAAAATTGGCTTTACTAGGGGAGAAACAAGAACCAAGGAATATAATCCCAATATTAGTCGATCCCAAATCGCCCTGCCCTGGGGTCTGCTAAAAGAATCTTTCCCTCCTTCCCCAGCATTACGGGCTTCTCCAGAGAGTTGGGTCTTTGCACAATGTGTTCGAAGTAGGATCATTTGAGCCTGGTCATTGGTGCCTCAAGGGAGAACTTTGGGTTGGTTGGTTTGATGATCCATCGGCTTGTTTTCTTGGCTGTCCACGGTCTTCTCAGGAGTCTTCTCCAACACCAGAGTTCAAAAGCGTCAATGCTCTTCTGCCTTGCTTTTTTTCTAGATATGCACCGTCGAGACCTTGGGGCGGAAGTTTCTCCTTTTGACTGGCTTCCTGATCTGTAGCGTGTCAAATCTTTCCCTAGTCTTCTGTCTTAAGTTTCAGGTGGGTAACCCTACCTCCCTCTGCACTAGAATAACGTGGGTGCCACCCGGTTTCCTTCCCTGTGTTTGCCCCCAGACAATCTCCCAGCCAGTTAAAATCGATCTTATCAATTTCGCCCAGTTGGTCAATTTCCCCAATTAGTCAATTTCACCCAGTTGGTCAATGTCACTTAGTTGTTCAATTTCACCAATTGGTCAATTTTGCCCAGTTGGTCAATTTCCCCAATTAGTCAATTTCACCCAGTTAGTCAATTTCCCCAGTTAGTCCATTTGGCCCAGTTGGTCAATGTCACTTAGCTGGTCAATTTCACCAATTGGTCAATTTCACCCAGTTCACGCCAGTTTTCTGGAGATGGGATTCCCAGCCCCTGTGGGAACCAGGTGGCTGGTTGAAGGTGTGAAACAGTGGGGAGGAGCCTTGATGCTCCCCCCACCGGTGCTTCCTTCCTCCCCACAGATCGACAACCCCTCTCTGGCCTTCCTCAGCATTGTTTTGATCATCCTCTTCTTCCTCGGGTACATAACGGGACCAGGTTTGTGATCAGATGGGATCCGGAGTTTTCGCAGGAGGGGCAAGACAGAGGGAGGGTTTTTCTTTTAATCATTGGTGTATTACCCACAAGACCTCACCTTTTCCCTCCATCCAGCTTCCATCTCTGTTGTGATTATCGGCGAGTTGTTCCTCCAGTCGTCCCGAATGTCCGGGCTCATGATCGCGGGGTTGGCCACTTGGACAACCCGTTTTATCTCGGCGTTGTTGTTTCTTCTGACCGAGGTGAGGGACGCTGGCGGGTTCCACATTTATTGATTTAAAAACTGACCCGCACCATCCTTTGGGAGTTTTTCCAACGTGGCAATTGGTTTGCCGTGGAGCTCTGTGCGTCTCGTGCGTCCGCGGAGGTTGAGCTCCCTTCTCCCGTTTTTAATTCTTCGCTTCCGTCTCCAGCCACGCATCGGACCTTACAGCTTGCTCTTATATTGGCCCTTTATCATCCTCACCTTTATCTACATTTTGCGGATGGTCCCGGAAACCAGAGGCAAGACGTTCCAGGAGATCCAGAAGAGCGTGGCCGCCCACATCCGCAAACACTCCAGAAAAACCGTGGCTGAGTAGAAGCAGGAAATGTATTTCCCCCTTTCTTTGAAAAGTGGATCTGGAAAAATGAAGTAAATTCGGCGCTCGCCGCAGTCTTGATGTGCTTGTTTTTTTAAGCGGAGGATGCTGGGTGTTCGTTTGGGAAAAAGACCAGCTTGGGAACTGAACAGAGCTGCGGGAGGAGAGGGTTAGCTGGGTTGCAGAGAGGAAGGGGGTGCCAGCCCTGCAGGGTAGGCCAGAGCAGAAAATCAACTCCACAGGAAGACTAGAGCTATGCTTTATTGCAATAGGCTTTAATACAGGGTTTCTCAACTTTAATACAGGGTTTCTCAACCTCGGCAGCTTTCCGATGCGTGGACTTCAACTCCCAGAATTCCCCAGGCTGGGGAATTCTG